TTTACAAATGAGTTTTCTAACGGGTTCTAAGAGATTCGCCAACCACTTTGCTATAGGGTGGTAAGGGGATCCAGACATATCGAGAATCGGTCTAAGAGGTAGGCCAGATTTGTGTATTTTTGGCAAACCGTATAATCGCGGTATTATCGATGCTGTTGGTCTTATGTGCTCAAATACCTGTTCGTTGATTAACTGCTCTTTTTTCATTTTCTTAAGGACGTCAATTAGTTGCTTTTCTATAATTTCAGTCTTGTTTTTCTCATTGTTGGGTTTTGAGAATTTGGTGTCATCTGATAACAACGTTGCCATTTTTTCAACATAATCCTTGCGATCTAGCAGCACTAAACCAGCACCTTTATCTGGACGTGTTATGATCAAGTCTTTATTATTTCTAAGTAGTTTAATCTGATTTCTATGTTCTTTTGTTAGTAGACTTTTGCCTGTTACTTTTGTGCTAATATATTGGTTGCAGCTGTAAGTGGCAAAATTATGCTATCTCTGGATGTGGAATCACTATTCACTAATGTCCCACTTACAGAAACCATTAATTTTATCTGCAAGTACACAAACAATACTGAGATAAACATTGGGATACCTGAGGTTTATTTGAAGGAATTATTACTACGTTGTACTTGCAATGTACAGTTCACATTCAACGACGTAATTTATAGACAGAAGGATGGTATAGCAATGGGATCCCCACTTGGTCCATTACTGGCAGATTGCTTCATGGCCAGTTTAGAAAACAACCAACTTAAAAGAATTATAGAAAACCTCCACTTATATAAAAGGTATATGGATGATATCTTTATCATTTGTGATAACAAATGTAACTTAAGTGATCTCCTAAATACATTTAATAATTGTCACCCATCAATAAAATTCACAATTGAAGTTGAAAGCAAACAAAATATTCACTTCCTTGATGTAGATATAACAAGGAAACAAGATGGTACTTTAAAAAGATCTATCTACAGGAAACCCATATGGAATGGCCAACTGTCAAATTTCCACAGTTGGGTTCCCATCAGCCGAAAAAGAAACTTAATAATCACTCTCGCCACAAGAATACGAAAAATCTGTAGCCCTGAGGTCGTAGAGGAAGAATTGAGTTTTTTAAAAGAGATACTTATCAAAACGGATATCCTTCTATATTCATTGATAAGAACATGAAACCGAAAATGCCAAGACCACAAACCACTGCAGTAGAAAAGAAAATTTTATACATGAACATCGACTTCAAAGGCGATAGAGCCGCACATATCTTAAAGAGGAGAATTTCAGATTCTTTAAAAAGAACATTTTTCGCAGCAACATTGCGAATATTATTCTCCAGCCGATCACTGTTCGCCAATAATCTGAAAGATAAATTATCGCATCTGACCAATTCAATGTGCATTTACCAATTTACCTGCTCTTGTGGAGCTAGGTATATAGGTCGTTCGATGCGTACTTTATCCAAAAGAATTCAAGAACATTGTCCGGCGTGGCTAAGAAGAGGAGGCAGCGGTTCAATAAGAAGTTCTATAATCGAACACCTTGTGAACACAGGTCACTCAATCAAGACAGACTCTGCGTTCAAAGTCATCTACAAGGTAAGTAGAAACCTTCCTAAGACAATTAGACTACATCTCCTTTGCATTGCCGAGGCAATAGCCATACATTTTGAAAAACCAGAATTATGTGTACAAAAGAGACTGGTACAACCTCTTCTTTTACCGTGGTCTTAATGTATTAAAATTTTTTTTCTCTTATTACTCTTGCTCTTTTACAGCCACCTGCTTCACCTTCCATCTTCCCTTCAAATCTTGTACCCCCAACCGGTTTGTTTTTATTTCAACGATCATTCCGATTACATTTCATCTCTGTTTCAACATTTTATGTTATTTTATCATGCTGAGCTACTCTTACCCGATGAATATCTAAGCCATTATCTATCAATCTTTCCTTGTTTTTAAAAAAAAAATTTTTTCTAATACCTTTGTTTATTTAACCTCACCGTCACCATGTATATCATAAGTTTATTATCAGTATTATTATCACCCTGTATAAATAAGTATATATATTTGCGATTGTACAGCTTTGAAAATGAATTCGCCGAAAAGAGAACTCTTCGCTGAACTAATCTTTCTTTCTTATTTAATGTCATAATGGGTATATTCCGTTTATCAAATGTGAAAACTACAGTCGCATTTCACTACTGTCAATATCATGCAAGGTCTTTAACAGAGTTTTGCTGAACTGGATGAAAGATGCAGTAGACGCCTAACTTCGAGATCAACAAGTTGGACTCCGTAAGGATTGGTCGTGCACAGACCAAATTACAACACTACGGATCATCGTCGAACAATCAGTTGAGTGGAATTCGTCACTGTACATCAACTTCATTGATTATAATAAAACATTTGACAGTGTAGATAGGAGAACGTTATGGAAACTTCTTCGACACTAAGGAGTTTATGAGAAGATTGTCAACATTATCCGGAACACATACGACGGACTACAATACAAAGTCGTGCATGAAGGACAGCTGAAAGATACATACCAAGTAAGGACCGAGTCAGACAAGGCTGTTTACTCACTCCCTTCCTCCTTCTTCTGGTGGTCGACTGGATTATGGGGACCTCGACATCTGAAGGAAAACACGGAATACAATGGAACAGCTCAGAATCAGTTAGACGATTTGGACTTCGCAGATGACCTAGCCCTCCTATCACGTACACACGAACAGATGCAGATGAAGACAGCCAGTGTAGCAGCAGTCTGTGCATCAGTAGGCCTCAGCATACACAAAGGGAAAACTAAGGTCCTCAAATTCAAAGCGGAGAACAGCAACCCAATCACTCTTGATGGCGAAACTCTGGAAGATGTGGAATCCTTCATATATCTGGGAAGCATCATCGATGAACAAGAAGGCTCAGATGCAGACGTAAAGGCAGGGATTGGCAAAACAAGGGCCGCATTCCATCAATTGAAGAACATATGGCACTCAAAACAACTTTCAACCAACATCAAAGTGAGAATCTTCAATACCAACGTCAGGCCAGTTCTACTGTACGTAGCTTAAACTTGAAGAACTACAACAACCATCATCAAGAAGATACAAGTATTTATAAATAGCTGTCTTCGCAAGATACTCAACATCCATTGGCCGGATACCATCAGCAACAGCCTTTTGTGGGAGAGAACAAACCAACTTCCAGCTGACAAAGAAATTAGGAAAAGACGATGGAAATGGATAGGACACACATCACGCAAATCATCAAACTGCATCACTAGGCAAGCCGTAACTTGGAATCCTGAAGAGAAGCGGAAAAGAGGAAGGCCAAAGAACACATTACGTCGGATAATAGAAGTAGATATGAAAAGAATGAATATGAACTGGAAGGAGCTGGAAAGGATTGTCCAGGACAGGGTTGGATGGAGAATGGGGGTGAGCGGCCTATGCTCCTTCACGAGGAGTAACAGGCGTACGTAACTAAAGTAAGCAGTCACAGTGGAGCGTGGGATTACCTGTTCAGACAAACAAAGCCTCTCAACATTCAATATAAGGTAATAGGGAATATAATGCCTATACAAAATAAGGAAGTGAATGAATACTTGAACTCTACTGTTTTGATATATGCTTAGTTGTTTGAGGTAAACACTTAACCAATCAACCTATGCTGTTACAAAACCATAGTAAAATGTCACTTCCACAGTTATGCAACGGGTACTATTCTTCTTAACAGTGTGTATCTGAATTTACAAATAATTCCGTGGCTATTCATTTACTTCAGCTTCGATTGCTATATTCATCGATCCAGGCTTGGAGGGATGTCAGTTTTGAACGTTTTCTGAAACTGCGTCTCAACCGAGGATTTCGTCTTATAAACACATGTTGGTAGCCACATCGCTGATAAGTAGTGTACAAATTGAGATTTTTGGCGAAATAAAATTGTGTACCAGTTGTTTTGCAATAACTTGTAAATTTCTATTGTAGACATCAAAGAGCGGAACTAACCGGTCTACATTTGATGCCCAGTGGACTGATTCAGTACTCTCATTCGGTCGGACAACGGTCATGTACGTATTTAAATTCAAATGTACCACCTATAGCCTTAAATCCAAACGCGTTACTCACTCAAATACTAAGTATGGATATGCATTGACGTTTATAAAAAGTATAAAGTTTTCTTCATTGTTTTATATTTTTCGGGTATTCTTGTAAGTATTCCAGTTGCAAGTAAAGTTGCCACAAGTATTCAAAGTTTGACCATACCTTTATCAGTAACACTTTTATAATCCAATGATGCCAACCCAGCGAAATCAGAAGTCATAGGTGAAAAGTTTCGAAGTTATATTTGAAAGGCCATCGGTATCTCGAGAAGAGTTTGGGCTGGGCTAGCTAGCGGTTGTAGGAGATGCCTAGCATGGCATAATCACTCGTGATCCGGTGAAGACGCATGACAGAAAGCTCACTTCCGGGTGAGTGCAGCAAAAGTAACAAGGTCAGCATCAAGTGTTGAAGCCTTACAGAACTATTTACCTTAGGGATTTATTTACTGCTACACAACCCACTCAGGTGTTCAATGTGACAGTTGTTGGACTTAGATCATGGAGTGCACAGAAATAGGGAGAATAGGAAGGATTTCGCTCGATTACAGATTAGCTGATGTGGTCTTCATTTCAAGATTTTCAAAAGCTTATCAAATCACACTAACCCTGATATTCATCTGTTGATTGAATATTCTTACCATATAGCTGTCACTGTTAAGATTATTTAAATATTCTAAGAATCAATTGCTGAAATTTTTTTACACAGATAATTTAATATACGTCCGTGGACATTCTGTGAGCGCCTGGAACTAAAAATTGAATTCTTTTTTTCGACCGTTTACTGACAAAAGACTACTTTTATTATACAGTCGAACAAAGATACTCTGAGTATACACTACATGTTTTTATCAATGATGTCTATTTTACTTAAGTCTTCTTTGTTAGGTCATTTGTTTTTACCAGTCACAGTTAAGCTACTATCCAATACCTTAACTGTTGTAGCGGTAATTTGAAGACAGCATTAGCTTGTCGTCATACAAAATGAAGAAAGCTGTTCAACAGAGTCGTTTCACCAGGTTTAAAAGGACTCTCTATAACCCAGAAAAACATGAAATTTTAGGGAGGACTTGCAGAGAATGGGGTTTGTGTTCGGTCTTTGTACTATAAAATACTTCAGTTTTGATTTTCATATTTTACGTCGTGGCATACACATTCTTGGCTTTATTCTTCGTCGGTATGCTATCAGTTTTTCTGTATGGATACGTCAGTAAAACAGTTCCAACACTCACTGGGGAACAAAGTATTTTGAGATTTCAGCCAGGTTCGTGAATTATTTACTTGTTTCCTAAATATCACATATGTGATTGTAATATGATTCATGACCTATTCATATTGTTGTGGCTACTCAAAAATTTAGAGATATTTAATCCATCAAAATCTTCAAACACCCACCATTATTTACATAGTATAAAATGTGTTTTAATATTTTATTTTTCTCAAGAATACAAGGGAAGGTGCTTTTCAGCGTTCCCTTGCATCTTTCAAAAACGTCTTCCGTTGTTTTAGCGCAAAACCGAGCGCCTCAATAACGGTAATAGTTTGCCATTCCTTTTTAATGTAACACTGAATTTGGCTGATCATAGATCATGCAGAATTATAAGTGTTTAGTTTATGACCCTGGCGATGACATGTACCAGATATCGTGATGCTACAACAGTCAGACATAATAATTGCATTTATATATTCATAGCATCAAACTATTACTTCTTCTGTCATCTCATTTAACGTCACGATATCAAGGGATATTAAAAAAATCATACATTATAAACAACGCACTTTAAAATGAAAGAAATTATTCTAGTTTCGATCAGATTAAATGATGAAAGTTTCCTGAAACTGTGATAAAACAAATGAAACCTCTAGGCCGTGCGTAAAAAATTAAATAAAGATTTCCATGTCAAATTATTTTGGAATGTTAAGTACTTCAACCCAATACCTAAAGAAGTACTCTTTCCTAAAGACTGCCCAAAACGCTTGCCAATTTTAGTAACAATGCTGCGGAAATACCACGGAGATCTAAGATACTCCGTGACTTATTTTTATTCTTATTTGTCATGCATAAAAATATGATAAACGCAAACATCCTCTATATTTTAATGTGTCATTACTAAGTGGTGGTTTGAAAAACTTTTGTCTTGGATTCATTTGTGGTAGTTAGCATGAAACATTAATTAATACTATGTAAAATGATTCGTTGTAACCGCCAACTAACAGGCAATATCGATTTCCAAAGTAATGTACAGTTATTTGCATTGTTAGGGCATGGTTGCTTCAGAGTGGAGGTCTAGACAAAAGTGCCTTTTAGAAGAAAAAACTGTTACTTTATTATACACTGGTTAGTTAATGTATAGTACTTAGCATAACCTTTTAGGTTAAACAGTGAGAAGTTTATGGTTAGTTTTTCTCGCATTATATTCAGTTTAATATTTGCTTACATCCTATATGAATACTATTTCAATCTGATATGAAAACCGCCAAATTTTTTTCAGAATAATTTTAACTTTGCCAGTTTTTCTAGTCATAAGCTTCGGTTGTTATGTTAGGGCATTATTAAACGATCACATATGCTGATTTTAAAATTGTACAAACGTAGGAATTTTTATCTTTCTTTTTTAATTTTAGAAGACATCTTTAGCAGATGTATTTAGAGCAAATAATAGTGTTGACAGCAACATATGGTATGGAAACCATAAACATGTACAGAATGTGTCTAAATAGCTACAAACGAGGCAGCTTTTGAAAACAAGTAAATCTTTGTGTGAGCATGAAGGTAGTAGCAGCCACTGATGAATAAGATGAGGTTCAGAGTAGTTAATGTTACATGAACGCAAAATAGCACTCCATACTATGATGGTACACGATACTCGCTATCAACAGTCGCGTGTAAATAATTAGAGCAAGCCTGCAACAGGTGTGATGAATAACTTGGCTGGCAATACTAACAATATGATGGAATATCGAAGTTAATCAAAAAGCTGTTTACATGTTTTTAGTTTAGTAATTCAAGTCAAACGATATAATTACCCAATGCAAAAGAAACCATCATAGTAGCCTTCTGAAGGGAAACTTGCAATAAAAAAATGAATTAGATTGCAAATAAAATTATTTTTTAAAAGCTTGGTTCACTGATAATACATCTGTTTTTTTATAAAACGTATAAGCTTTTAGATAGAAAAAATAGGAAAGATTGTACTTCCTTCAAAACATTCTACACTATACAGTAAAAATAACCCAATTTAATATTGTGCTCTGGTAAAAGATCCTCTATGGGAAATGCTTTTAAGCCTCTCTTTTTAATTATTTAAATCTCAGAACAGGAGGAACCAAACATTTTTAAAAATATTTTTAGGAACTATTAACAGTTGTATACCCTGGAACTCAAAATGATTGACAAGTAGAAAAGTTTTAGAGATCTGTGCTTCTTTGCACGGACGTGGACTCTAGTTTACAGACATGTTATTTTAACAAAAAAAGGAGAAATTATAAGTCATATGATTTATATTTGATAAAATAACCTTTGCTAAGTATTCACAGGGTTTTAGATTGTTACTTTTACCTATTTTTGTAACATATTTAATATATACACTATTAGCGCTACTAGCAGTTTCAAAGACGCTAAATAACCTAGCGTTTCCCTTTTTCAAAAGTTCAGGAAAGAATAACGAAAAAAATATAGGATGGTAGATGGCTCACAAGAATTTGAGAACATGTCAAGTCTTTATACAGCATATTGAAAAAAAAAACGTTCCTTAATATTAACAAAATATAAGATAACTAGGCAATATTGGGATAGAAATATATATCAAGATGGGTATTATTCGATATAGCTTTTTAGTAATATTGTCAGCAGTGTGCACCTCATAAAATGTTGATGTTGTGATGGGATCCGTTCTGCTTCTTAAGCTAAAAGTGGTGGTTTAAAGATTAAAATCATCGAGTGTAAGATCGTTTAACGTACACTAGAAGCTCAATAATTTCAAACCAGCCAGAAGAGATAAACGATGTTTCATGAACCAGTAATATCTAAATAATTGAGGAAAGTAACATTAGTAGAAGAAAATGTGATTTTTCAAGAGAATAAAGTAAGGATACGACAATCTCCTTAGCCATAATAACCCTGGTACGTAAGTGACAGAACATCTTCCTATATATAAGATTAGTCATGCATTTTCAAAGTATTAAAACTCTGTCATATCGTTATTTTATCTTGGTGTTCCAGCTGACTTAAGTTTTAGTAGCATAGGTCTAGAAACAAAGTCGAACTTTACATTTAGCTTAGAAATCGGCATTAACTATATCTTTCATCTTTTTCTTAACTGTCGCAACCTACTTTGATGTAACATAACTGCAAGATTCTTATTAATCGTTTAGAAGTTTAACCAGATCGATTTGGATCATTATAATTCCCCACTGAGATCCAAGTATGAATGATTGTAGTTTTTTAATGACTTCAATAATTTTTTACGGGTCAAAATTCACCATCGTTTCATCAGACACTCATTTCGATAATGGAGCAAGTTTGGTTCTCTTTTATATACATGATAAAAGATCTATTGAAAAAGATTGTTGGGCGATTTTCTTCATTGGTTAACGTGGAATATCAGAACACTTATTGAAATGAGTATTTAAAACATTGCGATGAGTATAGTGATATTAAACATATAAAACCACCATTTTTAGTAAATCTTAAGTCATGTTGTTTCGTTTCCCTAGACGGTGAAAAATACATTAACATAGGGTTACTGACTTGCACAAGACGTGTTTAAACAAATAGACTTCAGAATGCATGTAAACACCAGTCTACCTTATTACTGTAAGTTACATGAATAATCTGCACATATTTAATGAATTGACACAGGATAAAGTTTTCCTAAGTCTGCTATGTTGTTTCATAAATCATTTGTAAGCAAACTGCATTATATGGTTGGAAAAATATTTTTCAAACTGGAAGTCTTGCATTTTTATTAGTTCACAAATATTACTTTCCTCATTAGATAAAACAATTAAACGTGTCTAAGCTTACCATATTAATTAGATAGGATTCAAATAAGCAGCGAAATAGTCGAAACTAAACGCTGAACTATGTCCAAACCATCTGGAATGCAGAAACGTATAAAAGGAGGTTTAAGAACATTTATTCAAAATAATCAATAAAAGTGAGACACAAAATGTGTTTGTGTCTTTAAGCTGGTTTCAGCATGGACGAGGTATCCTTTATGAATTAAAGAGACAAGTAAAATTTGTTTCAAGCAAGGACAGACTTAATTACAGTATCAGGGCAATCCGCACAAGATTCATATACGCCGAAAAAGACTGATCAGTTGCAATCCTGAAAATATAAAAAAAGATTCAGACAGTTAACGTATATGAAGTAAAATGTGTGTTAGCAGTTACCACTCTCTCTATAAACCATTAAACAATACCTCGGCCTACGGCCTAAAAGTTTTTCATTGTTCCCACCAATTGGTGATTATTCATATGAATTTTCAAAATAAAAGGAATAACGAAGTGTCTTAAAGTGGTTTCATTAAAACTAACTTCGTTCACGATGTCAAGCATATTTCTTTTTGAAGCTAATAATTTCATAATGTGCTTTTATTTTTCTCACTAAAAGCCAGATATGCGTGTTTACTATGTGATTTTTAAAGCCAGATGCACGGTACAATGATGTTAGATTTTTAGTTTAAGGAGTTTGACGTTGGAGAATTATTCTTGTAGTTGTTAAGCCAGGCTTTTAAATAAACTAATGTACAAATTGCTTTATAACTTTAGAGAAGTACCGGTGTATTTCTGTGTAAAGTTCACTTAAGATTAGCAATATTACCTTTCATTACTCTTGTAATGAACGTTTTAGATGATTTTAGAAAACCTTTTATTGAAACATCTGGTTAAATCTCACAAAAGCTTTAAATGCTGAGGATTCATATTGGTTAAAAAAGATATGATTGGGAATGGCATTATTTTTTCCCTTTACCAACTCTTGGCAGTTTCTCACAATGGATAAAGGGCATTTTAGAAAACTCATGTTATTATTGAACTGAAAAGAAAACCATATATCCTCTAGTCTATTTTTTTTCAGTTTCGATGTTCATGTTTATGATGATAGATTTTTATAGCTTAGAAATCAGTTTTTATATCCTACGTTTACGTATTAAACTGTTAGCATTTCCAAGTGAAACCCATATAGCTATCAAGAATGACCAGATCTCCTAACACACCATTTAAAATATAAAAAAAATCAAACTTCAACCTATTTGAAGTTAGTTAGCCGAGTTATGTGAAGGAAGCTCAATCTAACATTGTGTCTGAATATATCAATAATTTCACGTAATAACTAAAGGATAACTAGTTCAAATTTCATTTCATTTCTTGGCATCGTTTTTCTTTTGTCTAGGAATAGAACTTGCTGCAAGACCAAACTCTTTTAATACGTTTATCCATGTTGCAACTTTCCAATCCACAATCAACCAACCGTATATTAATAAAGTGAATGAACTGTTTAGTAAATATGGCTCGAAAGGTGTAAATGAAGAGTGCAGCGGACCTGGTTTGCATCCACAGAATCCAGATGTCCCCTGCAGCTTTGATCTCAGTGTTTTGGGTGAATGTCAGTCAACTGAGAAAACTATATTGGAGGGAAAACTATGTCTTTATTTGAAAATAAATCGAGTATGTTTAGATGTCCTTCACGTCTTTCACAAATATATCAGATGTATTTATGGAATTTCATATTATAGTTACACATTCTTACCCATAAATGGCATGATGTGTGATTTATCTGTCGTTGGTATTCATAAATTTTAAGCTGTTTCTAGTCAAAAAAGGAAAGTATGAGTTGTTTTGATTAGTCAGATATACCTAGTTTACTTTACCTTTATATGAATAACCGATATATTCTACTTTCATTTTCTTCATTACAAAAGATTCATTAAGGTTGAGGAACTAATCTTTAACCAAGCACCTTTAAATCATAATCAACAATCTCTCTGTATATTAGGTAAACCAATTTAACATGTTTTCAGTTACACTCTACTAAGCAAATATGTCTTTGTATAACTCTGTTTATACTTTAGATCTACGGTTGGTTACCTGATTTGGAAGATCCTAAATCGATTCCATCACCTGCTATCGAATGTGGAGGTACAGTAAGTGATACTAACTTTTTTTACACCCTTCCTTAATATATCATATCAACTAGGGGAATACCAAAATGTTCTAGTAATAATATAACCATACTACATGTCAAGTTGTTGGGATAAGAATATTTTATACGGAATTCTTATGGTCATATTTATATTAATAATAGATTACTATAACTTCCAAACAAAGTTCTGGGTACTGATGGTTGTATATATATATATATATATATATATATATATATATATATATATAGCAATAATTGTAATAAGTACTCTTCATTACAATGGACATTCTAACACTGCTACTTATAAAATATCATACTCCAAAAATATCTGATGCTTAAATTAGCTTAAATCAGGTTACAGTTAACATGCTTAATAAGTCTATGAATAACTGACCGTAAAGATTATTAAATATATGATGAATATAAAGAAGTGAACAATTTTTTACAGCTTGTGATCCACCTTATTCAAAATTCATTATCTCTTCTCAATAATAATAATAATAGTAATAATAATAATAATGGTAATAGATGAAGGCAGCTCATTTATGAACTTATCCTATGAGTTATTAAAAAGAACAAATTATGGATCTTTAGAATGCAACAAGTCTACTGACATTAGGCAGGGTACCCAATAATCCGTGACCATTTTCAAGAGTTTCACTTTCATTATATCAGAGCCTGAGAGTGAAACGTAAAAAGACTTATCACTAGACACCTGGTATTTATACCAATCATGTGTTCAGTATCAGCATGAATGATGGTTGCAGGAAGGAGTACTTGGATTTGTTAATGTGAATAATTTGGCTCACTTCGAATCGATCTGGCAAATAGAATGAAACAGACTAAATATATTATGCCTCAGTACTTCGAACAGATTGGAATTTTTAACCTGGTTGCTTTGATTAGTGTATCTTTAACGAAATAAGGCTTCTTTATTATTTGAAAATAATTACGAGATTTTGTTCATGATCTCATTTGATTTTAAGTTAAAGTATGATATTTTTATGCTCTTACAGTGTTGTGATGTTACCTGCAGATGATTTGTGCTGTATAACAAGCCAAATATATCCCTGTAATGTTGTTCACTAACTGAGATCCCATCAGGATTACCTGTCGTTTTAATATTTATAGCTTGTGATTTTTACGTTATGCCCAAAAAGAAATTTATTCCCAGAAGACAATTGTAATCTATTACTAATTATATGTTTATGAAACTTAAAATTTCAAAGATTATAAAAGTTTTAGAGCTGATTTCTTTTATCACATAGATAACTTCTCAAGAAAATTATTTACTTAAAATTTCACATAACAGATTGAATTTGATTAGAAAATCATTGAAAACCAGGAAATATGAACACAGTTATTTCATCCCACAATATGATGTTTCTGAACTAGATATTGACGACCCCACCAAGGATGATCCACAAAACTTTTAAGCATTACGGTGAGCGCTTTACCTTCAGGCCACAGAGTTCCCATATTATGGTTTACATTTCTAAATTCAGTTGATTCGGGATGTTACATAATCACCATCCGCTCTCATTGGTGAAACTTGTTTCAGTTTGATCATGACGAAATCCCACTGGCCATGACTCCTCACCAGAAATCCGGGAATTATTTCTTGGCGCTATTCACTGGGAAAAATACATGATTGCTTGATGCTAAGTCTGAAGGTCCTTAATTCGATCCCTTGTGAAATTTATGATTGTATACTGTTGTAGAGTCTTATTATAAGAGAAATTAGATGTTCATTTCCTCCTGGTTTCCGATGGTGGTTTAACTGTAGTCAGTCTGTGATATGGAATTTAAAACTTTACAATCTTTACAACACCCAGTCAAAAAAGACAAGCTCGCTAAATGGACGTGTTCTTATTAATCACTAAGAGAAAATTCAATTGACTAAATGGTTAATTCGACTTAAGCAAAAATTTTGAGTCTTTGAGCAAGTGTAATAAACGAGAACTTGGTAAGAACAAATCAAACTCAAAATAAGAAAACAATACAAGGATTACATTATTTGCACATCTTCCTTGAGTTGTCCTATATGAAATCCGTTGTTCTTTCATTTCTGTTATTGTTTCGATGGTTTTCAGATCTCTTCTCTTTTCTCTTTATTTTCTTCTTCTGTCCGTAAGAATCCTACCTTTAATTTCTTTTACATACTACTTATATCTGTCCATACAAATGGAACACAGCACATAAATGAAACAGTTTAAAGTCAATTAAAGTATGCTTAAATCATGTTAAACAATCGTTTTGACAGCATACATAGTGTTATGTTGTAAATGATAAAATAGATAAATGATGCAGTGAAGAGGATAGTTTCTGATACTATTATTCACAGCGCATACTAATGTTGTTCAGTGTAAAACGTCTGATGTCCAAACAAGACATCATTGTCGTGACTTACTAACTGACAGATATTAGTCAAACTGAAGATATTTCAGAATCACAGAACTATATGCAATAAAAACAACGATATTTAGAGAGACGTTAATAAAACTGGCAAATAATTGAAAAACCGATATATAAGTGAATTTTTGTAAATTTAATTTGACATAATGTTGAAAACAAAAATAATAAAACTTCCGTCCAGAATAAAAAAATTTCACTGGTTTTCATACTTTAAAGTCACAAAACCCATTGTACCGAATACAGAAGAAATCATTTTCCTACGTATAGAGTTTGTCATCATTCTAAGTGAAAAATTATTGAAAATATTTACCTACGAATCTACTTAAAAAACCAATACTGCTCACATCTTTCATAGTTTGTAGTGAGAAAGAATAAAACATTCTATACAAATATTATTATTCTTACAAGATTAGTATGTAGTTTAATTCAATAATCTAGGCAAGAAATAGTCTGTTTCATCATCATAGAGAAGACATAACATCATTTCAGTGCAGCGACGTATTTGCAGAGTAAACCATTGTGAACTAGTTTCTCCTTCATCTATTCAAAGTTACCTTTACAGGGAAATCAAGTTATCAGTGATGAACCAGATGAAGGCACCCTTGGGGTATATGATTACTCAAATCGACGTTTGTGTTCTCAGTTGTAGAGTTTGATTGTTACTCTGTAATAGTGCCTCGTTGATATATATTGCTGAGTGTGTACATAGACAATCCATAACAGTCCATGAAATGTTTTGTTTAGTTGTGGGTAACCTAGAGAATAATCAGTCTGAATCGACATAAACGACTTGATTCATAGGAAATAAATTAATCTTATGGTTGAAAGCTAATCGTAGAGTTTAGAAAAAACCAATCAGTCGTATAAATAAGATGTACGTACTAAGTATTATTACTTTTTCTTAATCACATGCCAGTAATTACACCCAACAGTCAGCTTACTGACTAATGAAGAACATAAAAGTCTCAAAAAAAAATAAAAAATCACCCTAGTTCAGTACGTTTTAGCGACACTACTAATAACATTTTTTAAAAAGGATAATATTTTTCAATTTAGTCCCATAATTATGAAGAGTTTTTATTAATTTGCCAATGTTGCTGTTTTAGAATGAATTCGATAAAGAATCCCTTGGTATTGTAAGATACTTTCCAGAACATATAGCACCAAATGGGAAGAAGTAGTAAGTGTTTACGTATTATACATTTAAATCGTATATAATTGCTTTTAAAATTCAATCTTTCAAATCATGAGCGAAGTTATCAACGTGTTTCTATAATTAATGAGACAATATAAGGAGGACATTTTAGTGCAGATTGGTATTTATGTTTTGACTAATGTTACTAATCCAATCGAAGAAAAATAATTAGTGTGAATTATACTTGCATGTCGATAATATGGAATTATGTCGGAAATATGGACCACTGGGTGCCAACTCAGTGGTGTGAAGAATCGAGGGTTTTGGGTTTGATTTCTAATGGTGTCAGAGATGAATACTTCTGATGAGTCTTATGCTAGAATGAAACAGCTGTTTAATGCTCTCTGTTTTTTAAGTTGTCTAGCACAGATTAATTCATTATCTTAGTATAATTCAACAATCTTACCAAGCTCCATACTACTTAGTAAAACGTTTGTTTAAAAGATGCCAAAATTACCAGATAAATAACTTGTTAAACAAGTATACATCACCCAAAATAAACATAGAGATGGATGAATGCTGTAGTTTGAATTCACTCACGATTCATTAACTATGCGATATTACCTCTTCTTAAATACACAGTCATGGATACAACTAAATATTCTTAGATTTATGCTTTACTGTTTGCCAATAGTTTTTATGATCACTTGTTTATCTCAAATTCATGAGAATCTGTGTTTGACAGGATATATAGTTGATTTTCTTAAGATTATCAAACAATGATATAGCCAGATTGTTTGATCTTAGTTTTTTAAAAAAAGTGATATTTGTGCATACTTCATTTCAATTGCTTACTATTATTCAACATATTAGTGATTAATTAGTTTTTTCCTTTTATATCTGTAAGATGAAAAATAACTCTCCTTTGATATGTATCAATTCGAAACCAATTTGTTTCATTTAACTAAAATTATGATCGATTTATTCTTAATTCTATTCCAATCTGAAATGTGAACTATTTTAAATGATTATCATTAGCAACTGATAAGCGATTGTTTCCAATTGGTTAATGAATTGATTTCTTTCTATTAATTAGTTTGTAATTGTTCTCGAAAATAAACTTTATTATTAAAGTTTTACAATTATTTCTTTTTTTTTCTTAATTTCTTCTGTTATAGTGGTGTCATATCAAACAATTATTTTCCCTATTTAAGAATGAATAATTATCAAGCACCATTAGTTGCTGTACAACTCTCTAATATAACAAGAAATACTGTTGTCCTAGTTGAATGTCGTTTGGTTGGTTTAAAAAATTCTATTGGTGGAACAGGTTTCGAAGTTTGTGTTGATGACAAAGATTCAGGAAAATAAATTATTCTTTAATCTTTTGCAAAACATAACATTTTTAAAAAAATCTGTTTTTACTATTAAAGAAAAGAAAATAATTATATCGTTTATGTGTGTTCAATTTATGTGTTCCTTAATATTTTTTTATCTTAAGAAAACACAAATACATCTAATTTAGCCTCTTTAGGATATTCTTCAGTTTACTTCTTATGTCTGAAAAAATGTACTGTCTTTTGGTTTTTTTTCTTACTCTTCCCATTTACAATTAAACCAGTCATTCATAGTGTTCATTATTCATATTAATTATACTATACTGTATTATCAAACATTGTTTAATTTATACTATTACAATTGTTACCATTACAACCATTAATACTGTTACTTCTAGTTGAGACCTTTAATTGACTTTTCTTATGGTTAATTAATTCTTCAAAAATTAAGTTTCAGGTGCCTTACGTTTTAATTATTTTCTGACTGAAACATTCTTCAAGTTTTCTTCCTATTCTATGTCTTTTTACTTTCTTTAATATTTTCTCAACAACAATAGAAGGTAACAATAAAAAAAGATTATGATGACAAGGAAGAAGATTCTTATTCAATAGTTTATGTATTCATTTTATAATTTGAACCTATTTAGTGTCCTTATTATCAGTTTCATTATTGTTATTAGATTTAATATATTTCTATAACACGTAATACATGTTATACAACTACTGAAAACTTTCGCTAATTAAGTGTATAATGGATTATTGGTAGATGTAGCCAAAATGTATTTACAGTAAAACAAATATATATTTAATAGTATATTGATATTGTAACCAATACTATTGCTACCGCTATTTTTATTAGTACTATCATTACTACTAATAATACTAATACTACTACCTATACTTTTACTATTCATATTAATAATATACGATTCTTAACGTTTTGTTTACGAATATAATTCAATTGAAAATATCTTAAAAATTAAGTTAGTTTTATTCATATAAGTAAAATAGTGTTTGTGTGCATGACTACAATTTTGGAATAAAATTAGGATTTTCAAATTGTGTCATTTGACTACTTGTCTTAATTTTAAGTGAAAGTTTTAAGTAATGCGAATACATTTTCGTCATCTTATCAAATATTTATAAATAAATAAAAAAAAACAGATTTACTATGTTTAACATATTTGATAGTACAGTCCATAGTTGAAAAAAGGAGATTTTTTTAAATTAAATAACCGTCTGGTAATAAAATCCAGTAGGTTGTTGTTTCACATTTATTTAATCCAAATCTTTATATGTTTAGATTATTACTTATTTAACATAGATAATCAATAAACTTTATTAACATTAACATATACCGTCATATTCTATGAAATTTTTTCGATCTATCTTAAGTTAATGAAATAGATTATTGATTGATTACATATTGAATGATTCAGCTGAATAGTATCAACTACTAATGTTACTACTAATACAAAATCAACTACTGCGATGAACAATTGTAATGACCATTTCAAAAATTATATGAGGTACATTCTCAACAACAACTATCTCTATTACTATACGTTTCAGCTACGGTGTTGACAACTTTATAGTTGGATTTAAGTATTGTTCAAAACCTTATGTCTCACTTTAAACTTATTTTCAGATTTAAAGTATGATTTTGGTGGCTAAGATCGTGAAAAATAGGTTATTATTATTTAAGGTTATTTTATGTAAGTTAGTTCCATTTGAGATGAATGAACATTAAGATTTAAAAGTAACTCGAAATCGGATTATTTACAAATCCCATAATTTATGAGTCACTGATCTAACAGATTAACAATAATGCATCCTTATCTGATACTACCTAACCTCTCTTAAAGTTATTTATGGATGAAGGTAATGGCTCCCTAACTCATATCTGTGTTATTTAGAGAGAATAGGAATGGATTATGTAAAAGTACTCTCTGTGTAACAATTACCTACAAAACTCTCTATAGGTCTGAAAAAATGCTTTATCAATACGCAATACCTGCACAGTAAGAATTCGAGGAGAAACGCATAAAATAACTGGATGTCACACTAGTTGTAAAGAAGGTCTACCCGATATCGATGAGGAAAGGTACTAATGTTGGTAAATGTTTTGGTTACGTATTATCAACTGTTTTAGGAGGGAAATAGCACAAATAATTTACAATCTTAACAGTTATTTTTATTATTTACCACTGTTATTTATTGTTTTTGACGTTAAATTTCATTTTCTACACAACAAGCTGTCAGGTCTTCCCTTTATTTTTCAGTGTCTTTTGAATATAATGTTTTGTCGCGTTCTGTTGAATAGATTCAATGATTTTATAACTGATCTTTGTTAATTTAGTTTATTGTTCTTTTGCTTCTTTGATAAATCATCAATTCACAATTTGACTCATTGATTCAAATAGGAGACTTAGAGACATAGCAAGTCAGTTACCTGAGTTCGTTATTTGATTAGAACGGAACTATCACTAATATTAATAATAGCTTGATTTATTACTATAAGTTTTGTTACAGTAAGGAACTGTCAGCATTAATTGTACAATGTTACAATAAATATAGGTTAATTTATATATTTTTACAGCTGGAAAACAGGTTGCTCAACTGTCTCAGCACGCAATCGAGAGTTTCAGATATCATCATGAGAAAGCGTTGGTAAAAATGATACTATTTTCAACAAAATTAAATTATTGCGAATTATGTTTTAGATAATACAATAGCTATTCAGCTGTTAATTCGTTATTTAACTCATTATTTAAATTACCAGCCCAAAAATTTCTTTTCTATAGGGTTACCAATCCATTCATATGTTAATTGGTCTTGTTAGTAGTAAGCTGACTTTTATGTGGCTCAACAACTACATTTGTTACTGTGGATGGGAAATTTTAAAAGAGTAATACTAACCGGAATCCAAATGATCAATACTGAAACACATGACTAATGACAAATATCTTCTTATCTCAACTGAAAGTTTATTGATGAAATGGAATACTCAACTCATTCGCAAGCCACCGCATTTCAGTTAGTCTCTAAATATATTTAAATATTTGCTTATCACTGTTCATGTTATCGAGCTTCTCTAATACCCGAGCATGGATGTTTTTTATCCAACTTGTGATTTCTACCAAAATGAAATTTAAAGACATTCTTATGCGAGTGAAGTTCTCCACAAATTCCAGAATATTTTCTAAGCTGACTGATAGAAAGTTAGTCGATTTTATATCGGTTATAAATGAATTTCATCATACATAAAATAATTAAATTGACCTTCTTTATTATCAAATTTTAAAAAATATTTTCAATACATAGTAACTAATACATTATTTATTTATCATGTGACTGAATGAAAATTTTCACCTTAACTATAAACATGATTTTTAATCTGAAAATGCATAATGTTTAGTAGTTAATACTTGGCGGACCCATATATATATATAATTTCCGGCAACACATGGCGATTTGTTTAGCTGTATAAGGTCAAAATGTGGCTTGTTATATTGTCAACGGTTTTAATGCAGTTCAGTGCCAGTGATCCCATACAATAAAACAAAACTTGCATATATATATATATATATATATATATATATACCCTACAGCACTGATGTGTATGTAATAACCGCACATCACATTCGTTCACACGTTTTGTAAAGTGTAGCAACAATAAAAAATTTATTTATAATGGAATACCACTGAAACATAGAGTTTGTTAATTAAAGTTCGAGTGCCCAGTTATACAATAATTAGAATTTATTCATGTGTACAGATAATAAGTAAATTTATAGGAATATGTCGTTTGTCCCATACTTATACCGATAAGTGTGATTATATCTTTCCATACTTTAAGAGAAATAGTTATCTCATATGATATCATTAGGGTTAAAGAATTTATCAAACCACCTAAATTAGGATTTCACATTAATTTTTAAGATCTTAGTTTCAATCAAATTAATTTTTTAAAGTGTTCTCAATGTCGCAGTAAGGATTAATGAGATTCTAGAAAATATGTTATGCTCATAAGAGGTTACTTTATTTGTATCATATTAACAGAAAAGCAGACATTTACTAAAAATATGTGGTTATCTGAATCTCCTAAAATAAATGAAGTGGAGTTTATTACAACCAATAATTTTGAGATATTATAGATTGTTGATTTGAAGACTTTTTCAATGTGTTTCACACTTATAGATCAAACACTACTTTACTATTCGTAAAACAACAGAGTGTTTACACTAAATATGAGCTTGTCCACAGCCTACGAAAGGATGGAAAAACGTGTCTTTTACTAGTGAATCTTTATTTTATCCACCGTTAATTTACAGTTTACACATAAATGTACAGTTTGAAAATGACTCTGTTATGGAAAAAAAAGACTGTCAGCTCCTAGATGAATTTTGTAGCTTAATAATGAACATTGATACAGCAGATAAAAAGTTGTGATTTATAAGTGTGTGTTAACTGCTGTCAAAGAGACAAATATATACAGTTACTGTCAGTTTCATTTATTCATTCTTTTGGGAACATTATCCAAACATTCATTATAGTATTTACAAAAAGAAATCATTACATGAATTTCCTCTGGTTTAACGTAACAGGTTTACATGTCATTTTTATCTATTTGAATATCTAAATATTTACTAAGTAGTTTTATAACATAATTAGTCTAATGAAATAAATACTTCTTTTTAAAAAAAAACTATCTTCAAGTTTAAATTCACTTGGTATTGTTTACTTGAGTTTTTCCATTGATGTTTAAGACTGTAATTGATCAATCTTTTATTGACGTATGGTATTGGGTTCGAGTCCCAGAGTGAACATCAACTCTTAGATGCAGGTACATCTAGCTGACCAGTCGCAAATAGGACGAAACGCGTGTTTTAAATTCCACTGCTAGCCAATATCCATCTTTGCTTATCTTCAAGTTTATTAAACAGTTCTGATAAATAAATAAATATTTGCTGATAATTAACATTTGACCGAATAACCCAAACTATTCATAGTTTCTACATTTAAAAAATATCGAATTTTACTGTAACGCGGAAGTTATTAATTAGAATACTAGTGTTCGATCCAAATAACTAATTGCTACTAAATTTTATATTTTCAGTCGTATACAGTGAATGAATTTATATGACGCAATGAAACAACAGAATATTGTGAATTTTCTCTTTTACCAAGTCTTACATTCTGTAAAATGTATTTATTACGAACTATTTAAAAATCTTGAAGTTGTTCAGTTATTTATAATAAGGTATCATGTGTTTTCATTGTTTTGCTCAACTAGATACTTATAAAAGTTCATTAGTATTCATCGAAAACGTACTGAATCAATTGACGTCAACATACTAGTCATCGATCCATTTATATGATCTAAATTGATCTTTAACTTAGAACTTCTTTCAAGGTGTAATAAAAATTACTTATCATCAATGTGTTTCAGATCAGATCTAAAATCTCACCTTACAGCTATGATAATTGACTATCCAGAATTCTTAATTGTTTTAAAGCTTCTTCATAGTACTTAATCGAATCTCAAGTTAATATTGATTTTTTAATCTGACTCTAGATTATCGCTCGTAAATTTTTGTTGGTCGCGAATCTTGCTGGATATTTCAATTAAGATTTTTTTAGTATAGCGACATGAAATGTATGTTAACTAAATGTATTCAAAATAAGATATTTATAATGGTTTGTTGATTTATCAAACTCATTGGGGTACCACGGTAAAGAAAATGATACTTGATTCACAAACATCCTGAATTACGCCTCAAATCTTCGGGTTTTGATAAGAGCCTCTAAAATGTATACCATCAACCGATCCGGGGTTTTAAATAAAGTACAAAGGTTTTCACCAGTATGTCGTTTGTTTGACTCTTATCTCATTTAATTATGTTTAGGAAGACGGGTAATATCACTAACCCTCACTCCTAAGGTGAGGCTCATAGTGGAGTGCATGAACCTGGACT